TGAAATTACAATTTGGACATTTATTTACATACGTCAGCATAAGCCATCACTCGTGTGCATATGTGAGCGCACACTTGCCCCTGAGTATCTATGCATGTTGCATGTACAGCTAAATCATTAGTAAACCTGCCTGAGAATAAAGTTTTCTCGATCCTTTGTATTAAGGGATTCCAACCCTTCGTACCGCCGAGGACGAAGGGTTGGAATCCCTTCGTCACTGACCCTCAGCTCTTGAAAAGTCTGCTCATGCGGCCGTAAATTGTGCGACCCGATAAATATTCATTATATAGACATGCATATACACAAAAATAAATGCACATCTATCAGTCTAGACATGCATATCTACCGGATAGATACGTAGATCGATGTGTATATATGTGATAGATAAACAGGTGCGCATTTATTTTGGGGTACAAGTGTGTCTGCATATATAGATATTCATTGTCTCGGGCCTCGAACAGTTTTAACAAACCGGCCGATGAGCAAATGGAGAGTCACCCTTAAAAACCCTTTCATTGCCCTGACGAAGCAATAGTGAAAAGGCCTCCGGCATATTCGTGTGTTTTCTTGCCCTTCTCTTCGTTGTTCCTGTCCTGTTGCAATCTGTTCACCATGAATTACACACACACACACACACACACACACACACACACACACACACACACATATATATATTATATATTATATATATATATATATTATATATATATATGCTTTTATATACATATGCATGTGTGTGTGTGTGTGTATACATGATTATATATATATATATATATATATATATATATATATATATATATATATATATATTCATACATGCATACATATATATACGCGCACACACACATACACACAAACAAACACACAAACACACGCACATAGACAGATATAGAGAGAGAATTAAGATGCCAGACACGCACACACTAATGAAGTTTCGTCTCCAGCTTCGCTTGTCTAAAATGGCAACACTGATGTTAGTAAACAGTTGCTAATTCGACTAAAAAGAAGACCAATTACACGCCAAGTAGTTGCAGTGATTCATATTGGTGGTTTGATATGTTAATCATTAATAGGTGTTAAGCTAAATGTGTAATTCTACATATTTTTAAAATTATTAACCATTCAATAATTTACACTTTTTCTCCCATTTTTGAGAGGATATGATGCACACCGTCTGGATTCAAATAATCTCCCTGAATTAACTGTCAATCATCAATTGATTAAATTATTCTTAGTGCTGATAACTGGGTATAGTCAATTAAGCCTAATCGCACTAAAATTGCCTATCATTACATTCACATGAGAACTAATCTTGAAAAATGTTATGCAAAATAATGATAGATGAATTAGTTGAGAAAATGTTAAGGTTTATGAAAAGTTTATGAAAATTTAGTTGACACCCATTTCAAGTTTCTACGGCCGGTTTGTTAACATTGTGCAAGGCCCGACCCAGTCAATATTCGGGAATAGTGACATGCATATACACAGAACTAGATGCATATGTCTATCTATCAGATATATTTACATTCATCTATCTATCTGTGCGGTAGATATATGCATGTCTAGACTGACGTATATGCATTTATTTCTGTATATATGCATGTCTGTACAATATTCAATTTTAACACACCGGCCTTAGAGACGGAAATTGTCATTTATATATTTTTTCTACAAGAAAACGGGAATTTCAGACTAACATTTGGAATGGTAAATTCCATTCCAAATTTACTCTTGAAATAATATTAAAGAGTGCCAATTCGATAAATAAAAATGCATACCAGAGTGACATTTGGAACGATAAACTACATTCCACAGTGGTACTCGGAATAGTAAGTGGCGCTTGGAGGGAAAGTGGCCATTGGAAAGATAGACTATGTCCCCAAGTGGAAAAAAAACTGTATAACTGTGCATCATGAATTGACAAACCGCATTTCAAGTCGACACTTGGAATGAGATTGCACACCAAAGTGACACGCAAATAGGCAATGAACACTCACAGGACGGGTGCACCAGACAGTGAAGTATATCAGTCTTGTAAGAACATCAAGAAGTCATTTATTCTTAAATAGTACCGACCGAGTCTAACAATGACAAAGCCTCCATTAACCATGTAGGTATCTGCTAAAGTAAGTTAACACAGTTGAAGTTAGTTTTATATACTAGGCTACTGTACAGCTTATCAACACGAGAATCTAATATCCGAAAATCCGCGGCCTAAAATGTGCAAAAATGACTCGAAGAGCCTTAACCTAACCTATTCCAAAATGAAGGACCCCATACACATGCACGCTCGTCTGCTGCGACCCACAAACAACCGTTAACGCACTAGACACCGACCGTGCTCTCATTGTGAGGGGATGCCGACAAAGGTGAAAAAATATATAGTGTGTGTGTGTGTGTGTGTGTGTGTGTGTGTGTGTGTGTGTGTGTGTGTGTGTGTGTGTGTGTGTGTGTGTGTGTGTGTGTGTGTGTGTGTGTACTTGAATAATTTCATTCTCTTTGGAATACAAATTCTGGATGACCTTTCTTAGACTGCAAACAAAAAAACACTGACGCGCTCTCTCTCTGCCCACGCTCTCTCTTGTCTGTATGCTTTCATTTTGTCTGTACACTTTACTATTAATTCTTCAAAAATAATGGTGTTTGCATCGATGGATACGCGCAGAACGCACATTAGTCTAGGGGAGCGTTAGAAAGCTCTAGGGTCTCCGAGCCACAAGGAAAAAGTATCAATTTCTCCAAATACATGTTATTCTATCAATAAGAGAGGTCTACTAATATTGAAAAGATTATGGAGGATGCACAAGGATCGCTTTTACTAATCTACAAAAGCGTACGACTGTCTGCTGTTACTGCCCCTTCATAACCTTTGAAATCCATCGAGAGGAGTCACTCGCCCCGGAGTCGTCTGCCTCGGCCTGCGAACTCCTGTCTCTGTCTCCCACTTGTTTGGAATTCACGACGAACAGGTTGCAACAGGAACAACGAAGGGAAGAACAACAAAACATACGAATATGGGCATATTCGTGTGTTTTCTTGTCCTTCCCTTCGTTGTTCCTGTTGCAATCTGTCTCCCACGGATCACCTCTTTGCTTCTCTTGTTGAGTCTGTGGAGGTGTTTTATTTGACCTTAAGTTACTTTTACCTAGCAATAGTAAGCAGCCACAAGTTTAGTGGTGTGTTGTGAGCAAGTATGCCTTGTTTTGTTTTGAATTCCATTATCATTTTATATTTTTAGAGGACTTTTATGTATATATACAAGGGGAGCTTGGAGGGGAAAACAATTTATTGAGAGGGCGTGCTAGTTAGATACAGTGAAGAGGCTATTCTGTGCAGCATCGGCCGAGAAACGTTTATGCTAGAATGACAGCGTCTGCACCGAGGAGGAAACGGCGTCACGATTCGCCCATTAATTTTCCGATGGGGCTGCGCAGGTCGGGTTTTGCGCTTGCATTTACAAGAAGAGACTGAATTAATGGAGGTCTTTTACTGAACTTGTGTTGTATGTAAGGCCCTATCACACTAGCACCTTTTCCGTCAATTTCTGGGGTTCCGTCTGAATTTGAGGCTTTCCGCAAGGATCGTCTACAAACGGAACGCCTCCCAGACCAAGAAGGTTACGACCGTTTCCGTCTAATTTCCGTGTTGATTTTGTGCTATTAATAAATTAGATAGGGTGAGTGAATGCAAACATAAGCTAATATTTTAGAACATTCGTATATACAATATACATCATCATATTTCTTTAAAATAACGTAATATGTATGAGAATGTTCGTGTGATTCCCGGGACGTTACAATGATAGCGCCATGTTTGTTTATATGGGTCAGTCGATTTTCGTACGGAAAGTTCATTCGGAAAAGAAAAAAATTGACGGAAAAAGTGATAGTGTGATAGGGCCTTTGCATGACCCATACGGTTCATTCGGAAACACACACACACAAAATAATAATAATAATAAAAAATAAATTAATTAAAAAAAAAAAAAAAAACGGAAAAAGTGCTAGTGCTATAAGCACGTGTGACCTTTGTCTGTTTCAAATAGGCTGTGTCATGTTTTTCTTGGTTTCATTTTCATTTGTTTTTGCCATAAGGAATAAGAAAACATGAAATGTTATCGCGTCCAGCCAGTGGGGCAGCGACGTGAGATTTCAAATATTAGATATCAACGTGATTATTTGTATGATTTACTCGATATCACTATTACCAGAAGTACAAAAATCCATTCTTTTATTTACGATGGCAATTATTTTCAGATTATAAACAGATATCAGAATGCTCTAGGGAAAAACGGGCTCGGTAGGCTAAGAGGAAGTGGAGCTTCCCCTTTCAGTAACAGACGACAATGCACAAGCTGGTTTGTGCTGTGTGTGTGCTTAAAAACATCTGATAGATAATTAGAGAAATACGATGTGTTTCTGTATGATGTATGCGTGTATGTATATATATATGTATATATGTATGTATATATATGTATATTTGTATATATATTTATGTGTATATGTGTATATGCATATTCATATATATGCATATATATGTATGTACGTATGTGTGTGTGTGTGTGTGTGTGTGTGTGTGTGTGTGTGTGTATGTTATATATATACATATATATTATATTACATGTATGTATGTGTGTGTGTGTGTGTGTGTGTGTGTGTGTGTGTGTGTGTGTGTGTGTGTGTGTGTGTGTGTGTGCGTGTGCGTACACACACACACACCCATATATATGTGTATGTATATATATTATATATATATATATATAATATATATATAATATATTATATATATATATATTTACATACAAACACACATATTAATATATATATAATATATATATATAATATATATATATATGTATATATATACATATATGTGTATATGTATGTATGTATGTATGTATATCAAATTTCATTCTCAGTCACTATTTCTCTCTTTACCTATTTGTCTGCCATGTGCGGTTTTCTCCTGCAAAAGCTCTCAATTACTTCGGTGACGTCACCCTTTGATTCTGTCTCGCTGCTTTACTTCGCCCCCCCCCCCCTATTAGTTTCGATTTCGGTTACAGCATGACCTATAGAACGTCATTATGAGGAAAAAGAATTATTAAGTTAAGCGAAATTCTCACCCGATGGCTCTCCGAACTTCAACCTTCCAAACCCTAACCCCTTAAAGATTTACTATCCTAGACGCACGACACAGTGTGAATCCATGAAGCCACAGCGTATGAATCCGCTTTGAACGAACGGGTTGAGGGAATGGGAGTGAATTTTGCTTTCGTCTTCCTCTTACCTGAGAGGACGTCCGACTGAGACCGATTCTGAGCGCGTGCTTACCACGGTAATAACGAGAAGAGGAGTAGATGGTGGAGCTATATGCTGATTGGTTAGCTCCCCGTGACTCGAAACAGGTGTATGTAGTAACAGGTGTTTCCCAGCATGTGTTATTTTCTACCAATCTCCATCCCTCTGTTTCACAGTCCATCTCTAAAAACCTCTTTCAAACACACAAAGAGAGACAGAGACAGAAGACTTTGACTTTGACAAGTTTATTGAGACAGATTACATCTCAAAAGGATGTAGTAACGTAGGTTATCCTCACCCTTATCTCGATAAGTCCCTGTGTGGACTCACAGATTTCATACAAAAAAATAAGTGTATTACCATGTAATAACTTGAAATACAGATACAACTATTCAGACCCGTGTGTGTAGCTGTTTATTTTCGAAGGACAGGCACTCAGGTCATCCCCGCGTTATCTATACGTATAGGCGTACAAGGATAGTGCAAACAAACTGTTCTAAGTCGTACACATTTAGTGGAACCCATTGTCTCTGTAATGTAAACAATATTATGAGGCTCCACTATGCTTTGTCGTGTCTCCAGCACATCTTGAATGTTTCCCCACTCGTCCTGCACAAATTCCCATTTATTCAAGTTTTTCTTTTTCTCAGTCGTTGTACTTCAGCAGGAGAGACCTGTAAGCCGCAGAGGTTGTGCCTTCCACTTCACTCGCTGCTATTTTTCTTTCCTTTCCCTTAATAATTATCTCACACTCTGAATCTTGCTCCTACCTCTTTTTGACCTCATGGTATGTTGCTACTGACGGCATCAGTTGTGCTTGCTTGAAATTCACACACTTTCTTTGAGAGCAATGTCAGGAATTAGTACACCATTCCACGCTGCTCCATGAGCAGCGGGGAATGGGGCAGGGCTGGATTTTAACGGAAATTAGTCTGCTAAACGGAAACAAAAGACGATCGACGGAATTTCCTTTCGAAGGCCACATTTTTGTTATTTCGTTTGATTACAGATGGTTTGACGTAAAAGAAAAGTGTTTAAGACAATATTGAGATATTTTACCACTTGCAAATAGATTAAACATGAAAATTGCTGAAACTATTCTGATGCCTTATTTCCGTCTAACGACACCAGAGGGTGTCGCAAATTTCACTCGTGATATTCCCTAGGGCGGTCGCGACAGGAAAAGCTAGATCAGTAGATCAGTAGTAACTCGAGGTGTCAACACTTGTCGGTGTTCTCCAAGCTTTATCCCAGACAGACTAACCTGGATTCCCTTACTTCTCGCAAATTTCACTCATTCCTATTTAGATCGACACCAGAGGGTGTCGCAAATTTCACTCGTGATATTCCCTAGGGCGGTCGCGACAGGAAAAGCTAGATCAGTAGATCAGTAGTAACTCGAGGTGTCATCACTATTTTCCATCGTTTTTGAAATTTGAAAAGACCAAAACGATCGACAATATTCACAAAGCATCCGTAACTTTCGTGACATCAAAATAAACAGATGCTGACACCTCGACTTACTACTGATGTAGCCTTCCCCGGTCGCGACAGCAACATTGCCAATTGCCATCTTTTCCGGTGGCAATTAGGGTTGTAGTGGACGTGATGTACCCTCACTATGTTAAAGTCCAGGTGACTCCCCCTGTTGACAGCGAAACGCGTTTTTGGCAGCCATCGGGAGCATTTTTATTTTGGTGTATTTCCATGTTTTTCATCTTTCTTTTAACGGCCTCATTTTTATTTAATCTCTTAACTGTTATTGAAGTTTTACTTTCACTTTAATCTATTTTATTTTAATTTATGTTATTTAAAACATTTTGTAACAAGACACACACGAGTTGATAAAAGCTACAGTCTTGCCGCGTATCACTCTATGGTGGTTCACTTGTCCGAGTAGTAGTGGGCGGTTTGCGGGGCACCCGGCCTCACCGGGCGCCTGCTTCATGTTCGCTTCGGGCTGCAAGAGAGAGAGGTAAGTATATTTTCATTCTTTGTAAAAGGCCAGATAGGATGTGATATATGAATTGTACTTTTTGAGAATATACAGACTGAGGGGATCTCAGGTATTCCTTTGAACTTTTGGTTTTGCTTTTATCCTTGTTTGTTTAGTTCTTTTGCTTATATTGTTTCATTTTATTTCATTTGGCTATATTTGTTTTACTATATTTCATAAGAATGGACAAATGCTAATAAGATGGAAAAAGACAATGATAACAGAAAAGAATGACAAAATTATAATTAATCAAATGAAGATAATCATCTATTAAATAAATTAACACAATACTTTGTAAGAAGGGGTTCAGGGTCGTGATGGGTGGGTCATGCTGCAATACACGCCTACTACCACTTATTAAAGCAGCTCCCCTGTCCGTAAACTGCACTCTGCAAGACCCGCGTTGTGGTGCGCCAAGGAATCATCTGGGGGAAACACTACAGGGTGCCTCGCGACGCGCCGAGACACCTTAAGCGGTCTCGTGATCGGAGGCGAGACAGGCCGCTAAGCTCCGCCTACTTCTGTGAGGTAATGGGTATGGTCGTGGTTGACGGCTAGCTGTTTTACAGTATTGGTTATTTTTTCGACCGGTACAGAGTATTTTGGAATACATCCTATATGGCTTTTTATATCTGATGGTGGGTTGTGCGATGGTGTTATAGATATGTAATATAATTTCGATTATGCATGAAATATCAAAAGTAGGAAGAATGCATTTGGCAACTCGTTAAATTTTCTTACTAAAGTAGGACAATATAGTAAAAATGTTAATGTTTTTCCATATTACCTTACTGGGAGAGAGATTTCTTAGAATCACATTATATGGCAATTCCATGTGAAATCAACCACTGACAAACCTTCCACATCACAGGTTCATATATTCTCTTTGATGTGGAAGACCCAAATTGCAAATTTCAAGTCAATCAGGCTTTTGGGGACAAAATTATTGGTTTTGAATATTATAGTATTTCAGAGTTTTGCACAGCCCCTGAAAGGAAAAATACTAGGATTTTCTGTTCTAATAACCCCAGAAAGGCCAGTGAGGTCTCATTTTGAAGCTCTCTTTGAGATGTGTGGAATTCATGACGAACAGGTTGCAACAGGAACAACGAAGGGGAGGGCAAGGAAACACACGAAAATTATATTTCATGCATAATCGAAATTATATTGCATATCTATAACATATAGCAGTGCTAGGGAAGGTAGGGTATGGCATATACTTGAAAAGCTAACTTTGTCTTCCGTTTGGCCCTGAGAATTAGTACCTCAATCACTTATTTAATAATCAAACTGTTCAGAGTAGAAAAATCAGAGCAGGACCTCAAAGGGTCTTGAAGCTATGAATCTTCTTATTGGGTTATTCTTGAAAAATGAAGAAGAGAATAAATATATATATATATATATATATATATATATATATATATATATATATGCAGGGATTTTGGATTTTGTTTACATTTAGTATATATATTGTTCTTGATGTGGAAGGCCCAAGTTCCAAATTTCAAATCAATCAGGCTAATGGAACAAAATTACAGGGTTTTGAATAGTATTTCGGGGTTTTGCGCAGCCCCCCAGAAAGGCAAAATTCGATTTTGTTCAAATTTGATACTCATATTCTTGATAAGGAAGACCCAAATTTCGAATTTCAAGTCAATTAGGCATTTAGGGACAATATTACAGTTTTGAAAATTGTCACATTTCTATTTGCAAAACCCCGAAATACTACAATTCACAAAACCCCATAATTTTGTCCCCAAAAGCTGGATTGCCGAAATTTGGAATTTGGGTCTTCCACATCAAGAAGAATATATGTTTCGAATTTAAACAAAATTCTATTTTACCTTTCGGTGGGCTGTGCAAAACCCCGAAATACTATAATTTTCAAAACCCTGTAATTTTCCCCCCCAAATCCTAACTTGCTTGAAATTTAGAATTTGGGCCTTCTGCAACAAGAAAATATGTACCAAATTGGAACAAAATTCTATACTATGAATTCCCATTGAATTCATATGAAATGACCGTATAGTTATAGATGTAGAATATATATCATATCACATGACATATCTCTATAACATATTGGAATTGAAAAGATAACATATATATATATATCAATACTGCATTGATATGATAACCTCTCCGACAGGGATTCGAACCCTCACCACCTGCAAGACGGTCACTCTAACAACTGATACACGACCCACTAAAAGGAGTGTGCAATTAGGAGCTACTTAGCTTCCATAGACTACTCCATATCTACTCATACATGAGTGGGTCGTGTATAATTACCATATACAAATACATTTAGTCTAGCACGGTGCAATAATATCCTCATTAACATGATTATCGTTAGTGAATTATGCACCATACAGTGTAACAACAAATTTGAATTTCCCAAGACTCCGCCCTCATAGACGGGGGCAGAGTCATAGGAAAGTGTAGCACAACAGGTCTTGTCGGCAGAAATAAGGCCTCTGGTACGAACTATGATGTGGCAGATCGAACGCCATCGCGGCGGAAATTTCATCCGACGTCACTTCAGCTGGGTCTTCCAGCTGGACGTCACCAAAGGTAGAGCCACAGTCCTATAGAGTGACTTCAGCACTACATCATACTCACTATGAATAGTCGTATAGTTCTTAGATTAATCAAGGTCACAGGTTCAATGTCGCATTTTCTTGTTATACATCTAATACATTTTCTATAAAAAGATGCGGGTTCATTTTATATTATTGAATGTTACAATATTGGCTTGGTAACGAATTTGGTGTATATCGTTTTATGTTGTGCAATAAACAATTATGTAACGCAGGGAATCTGATAATTACCAGGCCCTGATCCTTCACTCTGTAACTGTAATCTAATATTCATCCGATCATGATACTGTAGAGTCCAATTTTATTATTATCTTCGTCTCCTTTATCATCTGATATTTAGAGAACGACAGAAACACTTCTACGGAAAAGAGGTCAGCCCTGGTGGGGGGGGGGTACCATGAGGGGGATAGAGAATTTAATCTACACTTTTCAGGTAACTCTTTTACTGACGTCGCATATATAGGCC